GCGCAGAAGTACCACCCGCCCAACCCGGTCACCAATCTAGTGGGAAGGAGGAGGGGACTGGTGAAGCATTGAGATCAAAGTGTTTTTGTTTTAAATTGGACAGCTTGGACCAGGGGTAGCCAAACTCCGGCCCTCCAGCTGTGGTGAAACTACAAATCCCATGATGCATCTCTCTCTGGGAGTCATGTCTGTGGCTGTGAGAATCTTGCAATGCCTCAGGGGATTTGTAGTTCCACCACAGCTGGAGGGCCAGAGTTTGGCTACCCCTGGCTTGGACCAATGGTGCTTTGTCATTGGTCCAAACCATTCACAGAGCTCAAGCCTGTAACATAGACTAGAGGCTGTTGCAGCTTTGCAGCTTTTGCCTCACTTAGGTTACACAAGCAGTGGGGAAGCCCACTGCTGTGTAACCTAGCTGTCAAAAGCCAGATGCAGGCAGGCAGCACTCTGTCCATGATAGGTTACACAGCGGGGAGGCTTTCCCTGATGTGTAACCTGTTACAAGCTGATCTAAACTAAGAAAAAGCTGTCAGCTTCAGACTTGAAGCTGACAGGTTTTTCCTCCATAATACTAGGGTAGGCTCTGCCTCACCGCACGTCCCTGGTAAAAATCAGCTGCAGGGGGGCTTATAGGCAATACTGGTGGTGACCAGTCCTTTGCCTTCTGCTATTCCATTTTGGCCACAGCTTCCAGAGTCCACATCTTCTTTAAGCCCAGAGCCAAATGTATAATCACTGATGGGCAAAAGCTACATAATTGTAGCAGAACATTTCTAGAAGTATTCTACAGAAAAGGGGAGAGTCTAATCATAAATAATATAGTGCTGTATTATATGATTGTTACCTGGTGCCGCTGTGCCATATCCGTGCCCCAGATTGGCGATAATGTAGGGTTCATTCAGAGTGATCCAGAACTTCACTTTGTCTCCCAGTCTCTGGAAGAGCAGATCGGAATAATCCCTAAATCTTTCTACTATTGTCTCATTCTCCCAGCCTCCGACATCTTGTAGAGCTTGCGGTAAGTCCCAGTGATATATTGTCAACTAGGCAGAGAGACAAAACTGTTAAAAAATAATGAAATAAAAAATTAAACCCAATTGGGCGCTATGGCCAACATCTCCGAAGTTGTGCTCCTTTTCACTTGTACAGGAGTTTTTCTATATACAATGGTACCTCGGCTCACGAACTTAATTCGTTCCACGATTCTGGTCGCAAACCAAATAAAACTGTAATCAGAACACGATCTCGACTGGAGGAAGCCACGGCCACGTGTCAGAGCGGGGAAGATGGCTGCGGTTGTGTTCGTCACCCGATGCGGAGTTCGCAAACGGAAGCAAAATTTTGCCGAACTTCCTGTTCGCGAACCGCATTGTTCGCGAACAGAAGCGTTCATGAACCGAGGTACCACTGTAATGTCCATTTGTGCAGGAATACACATTTAAAGCTGAACCCCTGGCAGATAAAGGGCTCAAATACACAATAAATGTACTTTTTTTTTAAATGCAAGTAGTGTAAATATCTGAATTTGTCTTGGTTATCAGCCTCTTGTAGTCTAATGCACAGCAGAGCTCAGAGAGGGTGATTGAGAAGCAGCCCATGGAACATAGAGCAAAGGGCTTTTCACCAGATAGGGGGCCATTACAGTGAGGGCAAAAGGCTTTCCGCACGATAGGGGACCATAGGGGTGAGGGCAAAGGGATTTTGCTTGTGATACAGGTCCATCAAAGGGCTTGTTTTAATGATAGGAGTCCTTTACGGTGAACGCAAAGGGCTTTCATTATAAGGATCCTTTGTGGAGAGGGCAGTTGGCTTTTTTAATGTTTAGGGGACCATCAAAGTAAGGGCAAAAGGCTTTTCATATGATTGGGGTTCATAAAGGAGAAGGCAAAGGGCTTTTCTCATGATAAGGCCCCAAAAAGGTGAAGGCAAAAGGCTTTTTTATAGTGAGGGTCCTTTCGGGAGAGGGCAAAGGACTGTTCTGAAGATGGAGCCCATCAAGGTGAGGGCAAAGGACTTTTTTTATAGTGAGGGTCCTTTGGGGAGAGGGCAAAGGGGTGTTCTGAAGACGGGGTCCATCAAGGTGAGGGCAAAGGACTTTTCTCATTATAGGAGTTCTTAGCAGAATGCAAATGGATTTTAGTGTTTTATTTTTGAGATGTCATCTGTTACCTGTGGTGTAATATTTGCAGCCAAAAGGGCATCCACTAGACGGATGTAGTAATTCAGCCCTGGTTCGTTTACAAAGTTCCGTGTTCCATCTGGGAGGACCCGTGGCCATGAAATAGAAAAGCGATAATGTGTGATTTTGAGATCTTTAAGAATCGCCATATCTTGGTCGAGCCGGTGGTAGCTTTCACAGGCTACATCACCGTTGTCATCGCTGTCAATCCTGAATGGGAGGTGTGTGAACTTGTCCCAGATACTCAGTCCTTTTCCATCAGCCCTCCAGCCACCTTCAATCTGTAGGATACAAAAAACAGAAATGTTTTAGGACCCATGTATAAGTATATCCCCAGAAAATTTAGTGTACCCCCAACGCAAACACATTCTTCTTCACATGGGCAATACAGCCATGAGTGACCACTCAATCCTCAACCTTGTTTTTGTTTGGTTTGGAGTAAGTGATCATGGGTTAAAACCTCTGCTAGGTTCTTATTGCTGCCTGAGCCTTCACCAGGACAGGATGTAATGGGAGGTCTCACCAAGAGAGGCACAGACATCATTAAGGTGACACTAAACACAGGAGTTAAATTTGAAAAATACATTTAAGTTCCCTAACTATTAACAAAAATGTATCCTATATGTGTATCACTCAGCTGTAGATCCTCCAATCATCTCTGAAAACTACAATCTCAATACAAATTAGTAAACTAAATGTGAGATTGTAGTCCATCACAGGATCGAGCTTGGTGCGGAGGCTACTTTACATCACACACAGGGACCATGGGAAACAAAAGTAGCCCCCCTCCAGAAGGAAGGACAGTGGCCACACCAATTCAGAGATGATTTGAGGATCTACAGCTGAGTGATACACAAATAAGATACATTTATGTTAATAGTTAAAGTGACATTAAACCCTCAGATATTTTAACATAAACCAATACTGTAATGTGTGCCTTACTGTAATCCATGGCTGTTTCCCTTCTCTTTGCTGCTCTTCCTTTTAAATCTGTTTCTGTTGCTGGGCAGAACTTCTGTTTTGCAGCAGACTGCCTTGTCTCAGGAATGGATACATGGTGTCTGTGTATAGGTTTGTAACCTGAGCCAGCACTACAGGAAGAGGCCCTGAGCTGCAAAGGGAAGTTCTCCCCAAGCATGAGAAGGCATGAGGATTTGAAAAGGAAGAGCAGCAAAGAGAAGGGAAACTACTATGGATTACAGTAAGGCACACATTACAGTATTAGTTTATGTTAAAAAATCTGAGGGTTTAATGTCACTTTAAGGTACTCGAATGTATTTGTAAGATTTAGCTCCTGAGTTTAGTGTCACTTTAAAACACCTTCTTAGCAAAGTGTAGAAGGGTTAGAACCATTGTTGGCCCCTCACTTCCTGTCTTGGTGGCACCCTCTGGTTGTCCCTGAGAAATTAAATGATAAAAAAATCTTGCTACCAGGACATAGGCAGCAATAACAACTTGACATTTTAATGTTTACACACACTACCCAACAACAAAAAGGCCAGATTTGGGCTTCAAGCATAAATCTTCTACTGTTATGGCTAATGAAGTCAGGACCACTCAAGAAAACAAATTCTCAGCAGTCAGAAATCTTTCTATCACTAAAATGCAGCAAATGCAGATATCATATAATCACATGGAGGGACATTTATCAAAACCGGAGCAGAAATAATCTGGGGCAGATGTGCATGACAACCAGTCAGCTTCTCTCTTTTATTTTCAAAGCCTTAGTGAACAAACTGAAGAGAAAAGTTGATTGGTTACTATACAGAACTGCTCCATATTCTGTCTGCTCCAGTTTTGATAAATCCCCCCCCCCCGATAGAGTTCTTTCATTTCCATACTTTTCTCCTTGACTCATTGTCAAGGTATATCACCTGGTAGGACGCTGAGGCTACGCTCCATGCAAAGTCTGGTCGAAACTCTCCATACAGAATCTTGTCCTCCTCATTCAGAGGGAAACCGCGGTTGCGAATGATCTCAGCATAGTAAATGGCGGATCGTTTGGCTGTCCTTGGACGGTTGGGATTATTGAAGTCCACATGGTGTAGCCCAAAACGTACGGTGTACCCAGAATTCCATTCAAAGTTGTCCATCAGAGACCAGGCCGTGTAGCCCTTAAGATTCACTCCGTCTAAGCTGTAAGCTGTACAAAGGACAATAGTTTATTTTTATTACTGGGTGGCTGTGGCAAATGTGGTTCTGGTCATGCATGTGTCACGGAACACAGAAAGATAATCGATATTACATATTATATATAATATTACAATTCACACCACAGCACGTGTGTTAGCGTGTCCATAACACATTCTGGTGTACGTTTTACCATTCACAGAACCAAAATGATTTATTTTACATTTTTTTCAATTCTCGATGTATTGTTATACACCGCAGTATGTTGCGATGCATTTCAGTGCATTGGAATGGCATTTTTTTTCCAGCACACATAAGCACAACAACGTTGGTGTGAACTGAAGCAATGAGACTTGAGCCAAATTGCCCTGTTGTTTTTAGTCTAATGTAGCCCAACACTGCTGGTGTGAATGGGCCCTAAATGACAACATAAAAAAAAAAAACAGTGGTGCCTCTTACAGATACTCCCTTTCTGGAAAGTCTAAATACATCTGCCCTCTTAGCTTTACTAGGTTTAAAGGCCTCTCTACCTACCTAATAGATTGGTTGTCTCCAGTCAAAACATTTCTGTTTTTCTGGGGGGTTTTGGATATAGCTTGTGACTCCATTGTGATTTCTCCAAATGCTATATACAGGAGACTGTTATAGCAGACAGCAATGGTCACCTGGGAAATGTTCGAGCACTTTGCATCTCTACAAAATAGGTATTTATGTTAATGTTCAGGGCTCCCTTTAGGGAGATTTCTTCCTGCTTCACTCTAAACAAAACTGAAAAGAAAAAAATGTTTTGGCTGAAGTGGGCCCCTGTGGTATTTTTTATCGATGTCTCTCTTGCTATGGGTCTCACATTAGTAAACGACAGAATTTAATTGTAGATTGTTCCTGAAGAAAAGGGTAACACTAAAGAACAAAACGAAAAGTTCTGATTTTGTTGGCTGCAACAGCACATCACTTGCATGTCCTTATTTAACACATCTGAAGGAGCCAATGGGCCACATTTGATGCAAATTACAGAGATTGGAATGCATGTATTAAAACAAACCTTTTAAAGCCTCATCAATGTAGGTCTTGTAGAAAAATACACGAGCGGTGTCTTCATAATCGGGGCCACTGCTCGTGGCGACTCCATTTTCAGTGACGTATATAGCAACATCTCCATATTCTTCTTTTACCCAGTTAAGCAGCCTCCTCATCCCCCAAGCTACTGCCCTGTGCACAGAAAGGGCTGTTGATGGCCAGTTGGCATTGACTTCCGCTTCAATGTCAATATCATTTTGGAAAGATACAGGGTTCATCCTGGCAGTCTTGTGCTGAACTATTTTGGTGGTATAGATGTTAATAGAGAAAACGTCAGCTGTGCCTTGGATGTAGGCCTTCTCTTCCTCTGTAAAAGTTGGAAGTCTGGAAGATGGGAGACCATGTAGGGCACTCTTGTTGGTCACTTGCCACTTCATGACCTCTGGGTAATCCCCATTTTTGAAGATGGGATGAGCAAACCACCCTAGAGTCATTTGCAGGTAGCGATCAGCGGCTTCAACGTCCCTTTTCAGCATGTAGTCTTTGGGTTCTATCCATTCTGTGTTCAAATTCAGTGAGATCACACCTCCTTGGCTACCTCGATACTTCTCATCATAGGTATGGTAGACCCTGGCATGGACCTTCAATAAGTTGTGTGCTACTCTATATGGAGCAGAACCAGGCTCCATTTCAGCAGGTGGGAACAGGCCAAGACCATAACCAGCAGTTACAATGCTATGTGGCTGGTTAAAAGTCATCCAGAACTTGACCCTATCTCCAAATGTCTTAAAACAAAAGTCTGAATAGTTATGAAAGGCATTAAGGACTGTATCGCTCTCCCAGCCCCCTAAATTCTGTAGCGCTTGAGGAAGATCAAAGTGGAAAAGAGTCACCATTGGAGAGATGTTATTTGCTAGAAGACCATCGATAAGTTTATTGTAATACTCAACACCTTTATCATTGGGTGTGCCTTGCCCTGCTGGGAAGATTCTGGACCATGAAAGAGAAAAGCGGTAACTGTTCACTCCTAGAGACTTTAACATGTAGAGGTCAGCATCTAACTGGTGGTAACTGTCACATGCTATGTCACCATTGGCATCATTTTCAGTATTTCCTGGAATTTTGGAGAAATTGTCCCAGGTACTTGGTCCTTTTCCATCTGCATCCCATCCTCCTTCCACTTGATAGGCTGATGTTGATACTCCCCATTTAAAATCTTCTGGAAAGGTAGCATAATGATACATGTCTCTTTCAAAGGCAGTTTGCCCTGAAAATTTCTCCCACACAACTTTTGCCTTTGAGGGAACATCTGAAGCTGGGAGGGGTGCTAACTTTCTTGCAGATTGCCAGCTTATATCGGAAGCTTTGGGCTTAACTGATTTGGTTTTCGTAAAACCATTATTCTCAATTATTGTGTTGAACACATAGGCAGATTTTCTGGGAGTCCGTTGTCTGTTTGAATCCCCAAAATTCACATAGTGAAGACCAAAGCTCTGGGTGTATCCCTGTGGACCTTCAAACCCATCCATCAGGGACCGGACTATGTATGAACTTACAGATACATTATCAGTCTTGATGGCTGCAAACAAACATAGTTACATAGTTAGTCAGGTTGAAAAAAGACACAAGGCCATCGAGTCCAACCTATAGAGAAGAAAAAAAAAAGAAAAGGAAAACTTCCAACAAACAAAACTCAGTCACCCACAGCTGATCCAGAAGAAGGCAAAATACCCCTATAAAGCATGGTTCAATTTGCTCCAACAGGGGAAAGAAATTCCTTCCCGATCCCATAAGGCTGGATTAAAGGAGATCTATGGGGTTAAGGCTTTTCCCCATAGTTCTCCTAAGGGTAATGGAAGGACACAAACTAGCGTCCTCCCGTCCCCCTAAGCTCAGTATACCGGGAGCTACAGCTCGCGGTATACTGAGACGCCGCAGCTGAAGCGGATCCTGACAATTATGTCTGGATCCGCCTAGCTGCATGAGTGACAGCTGGCTCTGCCTATCTAGAGGCAGAGCCAGCTGTACCCGCCCCCTCCCCCGTCCGTTCTGCCAGTCAGCGCTGGAGGATCGGAGCGGGGAGGGGGGAATCCAGCCCCTCCCCTGTCACGGCAGAGAGCCATGACAGGATCGAAACGTGAGCGAACGCCGGTATGTGTTCGCTCACTTCCCGATCTACTGAGCCGACCTGTGACAGTCTCATTGTCACAGGTCGGCTAGAACTATGAGGTGAGTGAAAAGCACTCACCTCATAGTTCTCCTTTAAGAATCTCTGGTGTTTATTTATTTACTAGCAGTTCGAGAATGAGCCTCCCTCAAAGAAAAACAATATTACAAATAAATGTTTGCCAAAGAGTTTAGCTTTTGAAAACATGTTCCAGTCGCTGAGGCATGTTGCTTTGCCTGAAACTAGGTGGAGTTAAAGAATTGGGAGAAGTGGGAGTGTGGAACAGATCTAGGTGGAGTTCTTAAAGATTACAAGTAGGGTTTATTTATTCAGATCTCTACTTGTAAAATAAGTGAACGTTACAGATAAAATAAACAATATCATAGAATATTAAATATCTAAAGTTGTGAAACTGGGTTATAAGATTAAAGCTGAACACCTGGCAAACATCTTAATCAGCAGATGAAATACATATAAAGAAGCTGTTTAACCTACCAAAGGATTTGTATCAGTGGCGTCACTAGGGGGGTGCGGCCCACAGCTGAGTGACACCATTTGAGGAGTGACACCAAAATGACTGACAGTCATTTTGGCTTCACTCCCTCTGCAATGTCGGGCACTTGGTCATGGACTGAGAGCCTGACAGTTGCACGAGATAGGAGGGTACCCGGCGGCATACCCTATCCCACCGGGTGAACATCCCCTCCTCTCTCTGCTGGTGTCCATCACCAAGATGGCTGCTGGCAGGCAACAGCGTGTGACGTCATCACACACGTGGGTGATGATGTCATGCACATCCGCGATGACGTCAATGTGGGGTGTCACCCATTACCCGCTCCAGGTGACACCCCACCTCGGGACACCCGATTTGTATTTCAATCTATCCACTCTTGTGATTTACAGAGCTCTGCCGCACAGTACAACCATGTCTGGCAGAGAGTTTTTTTATGCTACAGATAAGAAACACTAACAGGTCTTCTCCCCAGCTAACTGCCCATGGCTGGACAGTGAAGGAAAAGCAGAAGACTGTTGAGCTTATCTCTCTGTCAATCTGCTCTTACCTCCTATCAGCATGTTTCTTGCAGGGATGTGCGGTGAGGTAAGTGGCAGCTGAGGCTTCAGGGAACCCTGATGGATGTTATGTGTGATGATAATAATAAGAAACCAATTTATTGTCAGACACATAAATCCTGCCACAGCTAGAAATGTAGACTGTGTTCTAGTAAATCCTTAGTTACATTGGTGCAAATCGTTTGCTATAACATTTATGTACGTTACCTTTAAGGGCCTCATTGATATAGGCATTCAGGTAGTCCACTCTTTCTGTGTCATTGAATGCATCTCCTACAATGGATGCTGGCATTCCATTTCCAGTTATGTATATCGGCAGACCTGCTTTCCCATACTCTTCCTTGACAAAATTTAGAAGCCTCCTGAAGCCCCATGGGACCACTGAGATCCACGGAGAGGCGGTGGTTGGCCAAGAAGGATCAACATGTTGAGAAAATCCACCAATAAAATCATAACTGTTCTCACAAACGGAGCTGCTGGAAGCGTTGATTAGCCAGGACGTGTAGTGAGAGATGCCAAGGAAGTCTGCGGTGCCCCGAATATAGGTCCTCTCTGCTTCACTGAAGGTGGGCAATGGAGCCACTATGCCGGGGCACTGGGTGTTCTTCTGTTGTACCTGTGTTTTTAGAACCTCTGGGTAGTCTCCATTTACCAGAATAGGATGAGCGAACCATCCCAGCATGAACTGGACATAACGCTCAGTAGCATTGACACTTTCTGGGTCATTGGGGTTCATCGGTTCTGCCCAGTCTGAATTCAGAGAGATGCCCACTTGCCCATGTTGCTGGCCACGATAGTTATCATTGTAGATGTGCCAGGCCTTTGCATGTGCCTTCACAATGTTGTGGGTCACCTATATAAAAAACATTGGATTTAAAAAGTGTTAATAAATGTTCTATTTAATTTTTTCATAAACAAATAGTTATACATTTTGTGACAGTGGGTACCGTGAACAATTCCACATTCAGAACTGCTGGTTGATAGTACAGATAAAAACCACCTAGAATGTACAGACATTTATCCAGCTTGCACAGTGGTACAAGTTCATTAGCTCCCATCAGTGAAACACCACGGCTTCTTTGGAGAGCTACAAGACAGTACAGCCTTTCATGTCATGGTGAGCCTACTAGCCAATATGATTTTTTGGCAAAGGACACACCCCTGCCACACCCGTCTTATGCTGACCGTTAAGAATGTATATTATTATTATTAATAATAATAAGGATTTATATCGTGCTAACAGTTTGTGCAGTGCTTTACAATATAAGGAAGAAATCCCATTTACAATACAATTCTAGACAGGTTAGTTAGGAGGGCCTTGCCCGTGAGACCCTTCAATCTAACAGAAAGGGGCAAATGATACAATGGCAGCTGGGTGGAGATGAATTGTTCAAGAAAGTGATAGTTCAGTGGTTAGGTAGATGTGTGATAGGCTTCCCTGAAGAGATGAGTTTTGAGAAGGAGCAGGGCAGGCTAGGTTAGGGAGTTCACCAGATAGCAGGTGAAGGAAAATCTGCCCCTCCCATCCATCCGCCCCTCGCCGATGATAACGCGCCAACATCCACTCCTTGGTAAGTTGCTAATTCCCTTCCAGGGTTTTACCTAGTCAGTATATGGTAGTAGCGCTTCTGTACCCCTTTTTTTTGTTCCTATTGGCAAACGGCGGACACCCCGGTCCGGCACTTCTAAGAAGCAGCACACCTAATACTTAAATTCACACCCACATACCTTCACCCTAGTGCTAGCGCTGTATCAGGGGACATTTCTCCTAATTTTTCGAAGGAAAATCTGCAACCAGGACACACTGTTTTTCTTGTGAATTTTCAGGATGAATTGCTCCACAGTGCCTACAACTACAGAGGTCAGTAAGGACTTGTCTGAAAGTCACCTGGTTAGTTAAAAACATCAAAATAGCTGTTCACTGTAATAGAACAGCTGTTATACTTACCTTACTGGTGCCCCAAGTCTCCTACTTTCTCTCCATTCCAGCGCACAGAGTTCTGCAGTGATGTAGGAGTTGGATAATGAGCCACAGCACACGAGGGAAATCCAGGACACTGTCCTTCCTTCTGGAGGGTGGCTACTTTTGTTCCCCATGGCCCCTGTGTATGTTGTAAAGCAGCAACCGATCCAAGCTCACTCCCCTGATGGACTACAATCTCATGTTTAGTTTACTAATTTGTATTGCGATTGAAATCCATCACGGGAGTCACTGTATATAAATATTTGAATGCCCACAGCCTGGCCACAGTTCTACTTTAAGCTGACAATGAAAAACTACACCATCCAATTTTATTGTAAATATAATATAGTTGTAAACTGATAGCTTTCAACTTTGTGTACCTTGAGTGAAGCGCTCCCTGGATCCTGAATTCTAGGAGCATGTTCTCCAGTTCCATAACCCGCATAACTGACCACCCAGGGTTCATGGAAGGTGATCCAATGTTTCACTCGGTCTCCGAAGGTGTTAAAGCAGAAATCGGCATATTCAGCAAAAGCATCAATGATGGCGTCAGCTTGCCAGCCCCCCGTCTCCTGCAAGGCCTGGGGCAGATCCCAATGGTACAGTGTCACCATTGGTGTGATATGTTCCTCTATTAATCTGTCAATTAATTTGTTGTAATATTTCACCCCTGCCGCACTGACTGTGGACTTAAGCCCTGTTGGAAAGATCCGGGACCAAGAGATGGAGAAGTGATAGGTCGTGGCCCTTAGACCCTTCAGCAGATACACGTCATAGTCAATCTTGTGGTAGCTGTCAGTGGCCACATTTCCAGTGGCATTGTCATTAGCGTGGCCTTGTTGTCCAAACACGTCCCATATAGACTGCCCTCTTCCTCCCTCGATCCAGCCTCCTTCTACTTTAAAGGATGCGGTGGATGAGCCCCACAAGAAGCCATTTGGAAATGTGTCAGACAAGAATGTGTCACGCTCTGCTGGAGTTTGGTTGCCGAACTTCTGCCAAACCGTGGTGAAGGCTGACCATGAGGACAAAGACCTGTCTGGCCGTTCCTTTGACCTGCAATATAAAAGTCACTAAGATAGGCGTCCTTAACATTTACTTTCATCATAAAGAAAAAGCTTATTATATGTATTAAAGCTGCACTCCAGACAAACAGCTGAATGCAAAGATGAAATCCTGAGATTGACACAATGTAGCCCTGTCTGGCAGGGGAACAGACCTAATTTGTCATTAATTTGTCACAGTTTCGCCATATATCAGAGAAATACCTCTACGCTTGGAGTGTGGGTTTGTATAAAACTCCCAGATGCTAGAAGGAATGGCTATGTCTCCCATTTTGGTAGTATGGAGTAAATGCTTTAGCTGACAATATCTAAAGAATTCTATATGTGGCAAGAGGTACTGACTCGATAGCTCGGTAAACTATTTAAATTGCCCCTTCAAGTATAGATCAGATATTCGAGTAATACCTCTGGATTCCCTAATATTTAGGGAAATGTCAGGTATGAACAATGTGCACACTGCAAGAGGTGTGGGTATGTCTGTCACTGCTTCCAGCTTATGTTTACTTGAACAAACTTGTTTCCATGCACTAATGGAAGCTTCTATCGTGGGTGAAATCGGATTGTCTGGAAACCCAGGCCATATACTTCCCACCAAATAGTGGAATAAGTTGCGTTCCGGCACCAAACTCTGTTCAATCTCGCACCATTGCGCGCTCGAAGATGGCCTGATCCAAACCTTCACTTGGTCCAGAATACACGCCATGTAGTAGTCTTTCAAATCCACCAAACCCATGCCACCCAGTGATCTATGTTTAATTAGGTGAGAGTAGGAGCAGCTAGCTCTTTTGTTTTGCCAAATATAGTTAAAGGAGAACTATGGGGTTAAGGCTTTTCCCCATAGTTCTCCTTAGGGTAATGGGAGGACACAAACTAGCGTCCTCCCGTCACCCTAGGCTCAGTATACCGTGAGCTATACCTCGCGGTATACTGAGACGCCGCAGTATACCGCGAGCTGCTGCTCGCGGTATACTGAGACGCTGCAGCTGAAGTGGATCCCGACAATTGTGCCGGGATCCGCCCAGCTGCGTGACTGCCAGCTGGCTCTGCAAGCTGTACCTGCCCCTTCCCCCGTCCGTTCCGCCAGTCAGCGCTGGCGGATCGGAGCGGGGGGTAAGGAGGGAATCCAGTCCCTCCCCTGACATGGCAGAGAGCAGTGACAGGATCGAGAGGTGAGCGAACGCCGGTATGTGTTCGCTCACCTCTCGATCTACTGAGCCGACCTGTGACAGTCTCATTGTCACAGGTCGGCTAGAACTATGAGGTGAGTGAAAAGCACTCACCTCATAGTACTCCTTTAATTAGCAGCGAGCGCAGGCTTTTCAGGAAGGTGGATTGGAACTGTGCGGAAAAGGTATTATATGTGCGGGAGCACAAGCATTTTAAACACTCTCTTTTAATTGTTATACCAAAACAAAACAAAAAAATAATAAGATTTTTTAATGCAAACTTTCAACTCACCTTATTTTATCATCATGTGCCTGGTATATAAATTCACTGACATCATACCCCAAAAAAACAGCTCCGGAGCCAATCAGCGCTGCAAGAATAAAACGTAGATTAGGAACAGAACATTGGCAGCTTGAGCAGAATTTTTACTCCCACTGTAACCGTTCTTGCTGCGTTATAACTGGGTGCTTTAGCTTTCTTGGTTTCTTATTGGCTGGATCAGCTAGTCACAAAATGACAAAGAATTGTTGTGTTTTGCAAGCTGTTAATGATGATATTAATAAAGAGATAACTTACAGCATATATGAAAGAATGAGAAATCGGCAGCTGTGTACTGTCTATCAACAATGTTGTATAGGGAACATTTTAAAATAATCTATTGCTAAATTCTACCTAAAGCCCAACTGAAACCGCATGATTTCTTACTGTAATGAAGTTAGGTTGTATATACAGTATTACATATGTTGCTGCTTTTTATCTGCTAAGTGTTGCGGTAAGGGTTAAAATATAATGTGCTGGCAGCACATCGGAGAGTCAGACTGCTGCTGTCACACACAATGCAGCAGCCCAGTTCTGACATGCCCCCTGAACACTGCTCCAGTCATCATTGCTGCTCAGAGACCAAGAATGCTGTTAATTAGAGCGGTGTGCAGTGGGGCGTGTCAGACTGAGAACCGCTGCCTTGTGTGTGAGAGCAACGGTCTTACTCTCTTACGTGCTGCCAGCTTAAGCTCACAGCACACACGCAGGTAAATGATTAAAGAAGTGAGTTATCCTCCTTAGAGTGAGATAGTCTGAAAGCAATCAGTTACTGCTTGTGCCTTCTCTTTAGGAAGTCTGTGATGCTCTGTAGCCAGTGCTGTCCCTAAGGTATTCGCTGCCTGAAGAGATGCCGTTCCGGGGGTTGTGGTGCTGTCAGGGAATGGACACTGGGGATGAGGGTGGCGTGCGTGGCTGATTTATCATTTGAGCGATGGCATTGGCAAACGCTCACTGGCCACAGGTGACGTCACTGAGCTGGGCAAGAAGCCGCACCGCACAGTGTCACAGGTTCCTAAGCACAACAGACTTGTCTGTGACCCTATTAAACACTCTATGTTAAATGTTAATTTGTAAAATAAAGATTTTTTTAATAAGAAAAATAAATAAATATATAAATTGACCTCAAACCATTATATACTCCCTTTAAGTTATATTATTACCTTCTGAAACTTTAAAAGCTGGGATATACTTCTTGTCTTCTTCCTGGTCGGTGCAGTCACTCAATGACAAAGTATAAACCAGAACCTCCAGACCTTTTTTGATGTTCTGTACAAAGAGGCAGATCAGATAAATAAATAATAAACAGATAACAGAGGTGGACCATGAAGATTTCTTATATGTTACTGTTACAAACTAGCCATATGTCTGAAATAATACCACTATAAGTGTTTGATCCTTATGGTGAAAAATCAATGTTAACACGCAAAATAACTGGAAACTAGAATATCAAGCACATTTGCAAAAAAAACCTTCACCCTTTTTGCTTTCTATTTTTGTCCTCTGAGAGCTGTCCTAAAAATCACAGTAGTGATGTTATTAAGTAGCTTATTAGTGTTCATTTCCAAATACAAATCTCCAAAACCTAGGGTGGTGGTCACCGGGTCATTCAGCAACTATAAGCATTGATTGACAAAGGTAAGCTTGTAGTTAGTGGGTCTACCTAAGTGGATACAATTTTTACAGATTGGTTAGGTAGGACTTCAAAGTACATAGCTGTTGGTAACTTTTGTAAATCTCACCTATTCAAAACCTGAATTTAAGTAATTTTGTGATATCATTAGTCATCTAATAGGCCCTACAGAGGGACACCCTTATGTCCTCCTTTCCTTTTGCAGGATAGAGAATCAGGCTTGCAACTTTAGGACGGCAAGCTGCTGGAATTATAACAAACAGGTATCAAATGCATGACAGGCAGTTTTTATTTTTGTTCTTATGGTGCTTTTATTCTTTTGAAAGTTCTGGACACATGGCCCATCAGCATCTCAGGAACTCCAAAAGGGTGACATAGAATAAAAATTCTGGTCCTACTGTACCCAAAGCAGAAGCTATAGTCTTGATGGCCTTCAGGTCAAGCAGTAGCGTTACCCTCATTGATAAGAAGTTCTTGACACATGACCCATCAGCATCTCGGGAACTCCAACAGGGTGACAGAGAATACAAATTCTGGTCTTATTGTACCCAAAGAAGGAGCTATTTTCTTGATGGTTTTCAGGTCAAGCAGTAGCATTGATATTCCTTTTACTTTGTTTTTACAGATTATCAAGAGATGGATGGAGCTCTCTCCATCTTATAAGATCCTTTAGCACCAGACCTAAGTCCTGATGGGGAGGACCATCCCTCACCAGAAGGGCTCCGCCAAGGGATAGGCAAAGGAAGAGACCACTTTGGGTGCTTCAACTGGAGGGCAATGCAAAAAGGGGCAGAGTCTGCAAGCTATGTTGTTGAGGTAGTTCACAGCTCAAGAACGGCACACTTTGGCCTATTTCCCTTGGTTGCTAAAGGAGCTTGTCCCAACACTGCTCACCAGGTTAAAGGTTTTGTAGTCTTCTGTATGTGTGAATGTTTTTGTGAGCATGTACATGCATCAACAAGGGTAGGTACACCACAGGATGGAGCACATACTGTATACCGAGATACTAAACATCAAAACATCATGGCCACACAGGAGGAGCTAGGAGATAGACAAATTGGCTGCTAAAGCAAATAAAATATCAACAGACAGTCTACTTTTCCTCATCATTGTCAAGGATCAGAGTGATCTGCCCTGGAAGAAAAACCTTATACCATAGTTGGCAGCAATTGTTCGCCTTACCAGATGTGATGTCCCCTTCTGCAGCTCTTCTGAATTCCGGCAATTGTACTCGATCTTCAGTGCAAGAAAATCAACCGATTGCTGAAAGAGACAAAAGTGAATGCCAGGCCCTTTCCTATAGTACACAAACATACAGTAGATGTTACCTTGGAAAATGTTGGTGCCCTCAGAAGATGGCAAGATTTTTTTTCCCCAGACCCACGTTTGTGAATGAGAGATGGGCCAAGTGCACATGGGCACCTGAGGCCATACAATGTAAAAAATTTGGCGTATTTCCTTATCCGGGAGCCACAGCTGCCGCGCACAGTCGACCATGTAAATCAATTACACGATGCAGCTGTATGCGGGTGTAGCACCATGTAGACAGGAGTGCTATTAGATTGAGTATTTTCAGATTGTAAGCAGTCTGATACTGATTTGTAGCACATGTTAATTTGGTTTCCCCTAATCAATCTGTCATCATTTGCATCTGTCTGCTGCTGGGTGTACCCTGGTCACAGAGCAGAGCAACCAATTAGAGATTGCCATGAGTAAGTATCCCTTCCCAGCCAATCACTGTGAGGTTAATGGCCAGTGGTGAATGCTGGGGAGGAGATAAATACTTTAGCGTGGACCATGGGAGCTCTTCCTCCCCCGGGCCCTTTCTGTGGGGAGGCTAGCTGCTATGGACTGTTTGAGAGGGCTAGGCCTGCAGCCTGGGGACCAGCTATGTGCATACACTGAGGCCTGAATCTGGAGTTCTGGTGTTCTGGTTCTGAATCTGGTGTTTACTCCTGATGACAAGGATGAACATGACTGGTGACTTCTACCTCAAGTACTGCTGTGCCAGGTGTTCTTTGTGCTGTGAAGAGAGGCAGCTACTACCACCGACCATTTAAAGGAGTCTACACCAACCTGGATGATCCTGACCCTCAACCTCTCTCCCTGAAGTTCATCAATAAAAGTTCTCAGCATCATATCTACAGTCTGGACATCGCCTTTATCCATTTCATAGAGGGTGGTAAGTGCTAATGGGCAAAGTGAGTGAAAATATCCCTAGACAAGAAGATTACTAAGTTGTGGTAACCCGTAGCAGCCGAACCTGGGATCGAGGTATTGGAGCAATCTCAAGTTGTGCTGGTGTGTTTATTACTGAGGTTCATCACAGGGGAAACACAGGGAGACCCATTGCTTTATTACTTCACACTGCTCAGTAAGGGGTGCGCTACACAGGTATATGCTGGTACATGTGCATGGATGTACAACCCCAACCGTAGACTGTCTGTGTTCAGGGTTGTACGTATGTGCATTTTTAAGCATGTGTTGGCGCATACCCAGGTCAGTGGCGTCACAAGGGGGGTGCGGCCTGCACCCGGGTGACACCATTGGAGGGGTGACACCAAAATGACTGACAGTCCTTTTGGTGTCACTCCCTCTGAAAAGTCGGGCATTCAATCATGCATCAAGAGCCCAACATTTGCTTGAGAGAGGAGAGGACCGGTGCGATAAGGTATGCTCCTCTCTGTCCCCTCCTCTCTCTGCCGGCATCCTTCACCAAGATGGCTGTGCCGCCCCAATAGGGGCATAGAATATGAGATGCATAGGCTCAGTTAATATTAGCAATGTTATATAGGTTAGTTTTACATAGTGTGTTTGCCTATATATTTTCTCATAGCTAAATTCATGTGTTATCCTATGCTGCCATCTAGTGGCCTTTTGTTGTAATGTACATGTTTTTCTGTGATTCTTTGTGATGTCTACGATGTATTTCCTCTCTGTATGTAACCCCACCCTTCTTCCTGTGTGCAGTACTTCCTGTGTCATGGCCACAGTTAGAAGCCACATGTAACAAGGACACACATGTAATCTGCACAGTACGTAGGAAAGGCATCATTTTCTGACCGCACAATACTATAACCGTTCAACTGCTGTTCCTATCATCTGATGTAACCCTGATGTTAAAGAATAAACACCTCTTTCAATGAATCGGTATTGACGAGTTCAGCTATCTGACGAGGATTGTCCGCAGTGAGTATATCTGCTTATACAGGCCAGGCATAGAGGTCTCAGCAAGGGATATATTTCGCTATCACAACAATCGGAGTCAGAATAATGGCCGCAGGCAGGTAACAGCGGTACAGCGCATGCAGGGATATAGAACCGATTTTAACATTGTATGGCCCCAGGTGTAATTAAGACCTTAGAAAACTACATAAGCAAGAGACATTTGGAAAAGAGTAGTCACCAATGAAATTATTGATTCGGTTTAAACGATGAAAGGTTCTCAGATTTTGTGGATTGTCCATGCAGGATGGGTATTCAGCTGTATCTCATTTTGGAAATGCCAGGTACCCGGTTGCCTCTGACCCTCAATCTCCATCTCAAGAGGATTTGTTACTGTGTGTATGTGGGTCCTCAGATGGGGATGAGGCTCTGAGCTTTTTGGTTCCTGTAAATATCTGCATCAATGATCCGACCAGCACCCCCCCCCCCCCCCACCACGAGGACG